GATTATAGATTCAAATGCTTTTCTCATATTTACCCTAAATAGTACTCCATGTTGAAACTAGAGAAAATAATGAAATGGCAGAAGTATAAACATACCTTGATTCATATTGTTTGATTGTTGACCTGAATGGATTATGATCTTTCAATTGATTGGTGGTCTTTTCTTGATTTTCACTCTCTGTTGATGGGAGATGCAGAGAATCTCAAGAACATCAACAAATGAGGACCATAACCATATAAAATAATAGTAACTGATCTTTCAATTGCTTTAAATTGGCCTCTCATCAATTTAAAACAACATTCCGGTCTTTACACTATATTTCCATGAAACATAATACTGATTAGTCACAATACATCTTTAACGGTTCACTTTAATTGACTAAAATCCTGTAAATAATAGCACCACATATTTTAATATACAACGTGTGGTCCCAAATATGTTGAAATTATCCAANTAGCACCACATATTTTAATATACAACGTGTTGTCCCAAATATGTTGAAATTATCCAACATATTTGCTTATCTTCAACACTCTTATTACATTGTATATCCTTAAAATAAATCATGAGAGCATGCCTTTCCCAAAATTTGAAGTCGAGATGTCTTTAAAATTGCACTTAATTGGAATGACCCGCATATTAGAGATAACTGCACAAAAAATCAATGATGTTCAAAAAAGAACTACTTTCCAGCAGAATTGACTTGTAATTGTAGTAGAAAAGTGAAGTTTACTTTCTTTCCTTTCTTCTCCATTTCTATAATCCTTTATGAACCGAACAAAACACATAAAGTCCACCATTTTCAATAAAGACATCAAGCTAAACCTAAAGCTTAAGCATAAAGGCAGAGTATACATGCAACTATGTATTTAGTCTTCATTACATTCTTAAGACTTGTTCCTCATTTTCCCAAAAATTAAGCTAATTTGCAAGGTGCAAACCCACTAATCCCAAAGAGTAGTTCTCCTAGCATATGGAAACTTGTATATAAAGTGCTTACATTACGGGAAAAATTCATAGAAAAAACATGAGTATAAAATAATCGGTTATTTACAAACTTGCAATTGAAAAAGGAAAAATAATCGAAGGTTTAGACCAATCGCAAATTCATCACCATCTTGCCTGCTTCCAATTGAAAAAGGAAAAATAAATCCATGCAAGTTTAGGCCCTAAAATTACATGTAAACTGCAAAAATTGAAAAATAAGAATGAAAAATCAATGCATTTGGGGACATTTCAGAATTTTTAAATTAAGTTCAGATATATACATATTGTCACCCACAGTTAAAAGTCAATGCTTTCTTATAACCTCAAACGAGCAGCCGTATTGATGCCTTTAATCTGATCAAACAATATAGTATACGAGAGTGTGGCCTTTGTATTAAAACCGAGGATTCCATCTTAAAATGTTAACTTTATCGGTAGAAATGACAGAAAGAGAACAAAAGCAACTTGGAGTAAGATTACGAGCATCTTTATCATGAACATCAACTTTATGCTAAGGGATTTTACCTCTTTTATTCTTTAAAAGAAAAATTAGGCAAAGGAAAATCTGTGAATCTCATGGTTTGTCAAATTCCATTACGTCACAATGTAGGAGACCACCTTTTACATGATAATAACGAAGGAATTTTTAGCATTTTAGGCCTTTTTGACAAAACAGATAATAAAGACAGCAAGAATTATGGCTCCTTCGAAGTTAATTGTTTGAAAAAATTGCAATTGGCTCGTGTAAGTTTATAATATTCATGACTAAACAACACAAAATATATATCATTTAACTCAAAACAATTTTGCTTTCATAAAATGAGTCATGTTATTCATCACTACCGGTGTCAAGCATCAGTCTAGGTGACAATTATACGATATTAAATGATGAATTCATTTAAATGTAATGTCACATGATTCATTTAATTGAATCTATCAAGTGTGGTTATCTAAACTGGTGTGCTCTACCACTACTAATGATAGATAAATTATTCTCATAAAATACACTATTAAGAGGATCAGTGAATGCTCGTGGGACGCCACATAAGGCATTCTGCAAGTCAAATCAACATCGTTTGTTTGGATTCATGGAATTCAGTGAACAACATGATGAACATTGTAAAGTTGGGTAAATAGGAATTTTTTTAAAATTCAGTGTGCCTGTAAATTTAGGGATGAATAGAGTTTTTAACCCCTTTTGAATTTATTGTTGGCTCTTGCTAACTAAACCATATGTGTATCACGCGGTTGTAAGGACGGTGAATTTGAGAACGCCACGGACACAAGCCTAATCCGTGCCTTGAATAGTCGTCGTTATTCAAGATGCATATTTTCCAAATCAAGAACAAAACAACTCGACTAGATTATTGGATAATTTCAAAAGTTAATGTAAATCATAAATCAGGATTCAACTTTCACTCAGAATACAAATTTTGTATTTGTTATACTTATGCACAAAAACAGAGGCTGAGACTTGTGCTTAATGGCTGTGTATTTAACTCCTGGTCAATCCTGAAATTTCAGTAGTTAATCCATCAAATTCATTGAATATTACGGACGAAGGATTCATTCGAACAAGCCGTTGGATTCAATGTATAATTCAAGATCTCAATGACTGCGAAAACACTGTCCGTAAATTTCTCATGTTATAGTAGACAGGAATAAGGAAAAAGAGGAATCTATAAATTTTATCTTTTGTACTGGAGAGAGTACTAACAAATCTGTACTTGACAGAATCCATAAATAGCTAAAATCTTATCTATTCTAGTCGAGCGTTGGAGAAAAGCTCAAACCTAATTGGAGATCTAATGATTTGAAATTCTGCTTGGAACTAGGCAAAGAAGAAGGTTTGCTGACAGGTCTGGTGGTTCTTGATCTGTCCGCGTGTGTAAGAGTAAACCTGCAGCATGTATCTTGAGCCGGCAGGGCCGCGGCTGCAGCCCACGTGGAAACCTTGCGGCCGTTGATATCAGTCTCCGCTCCATAATCGTAGGGGCGGAAGCTGATTTGAGACTCCTCATGGAGCGCAAAACCCGAGCTCTGGAAATTGAGACAATGAATATTTTGAAAAGGTTGAGCGAAATAACTAATACTGGGTTTTCTTGCTTGAAGCTGCAGCTTTTTTTTCCTCATTCTCTCCTTTTTGTGGGCATTTTGATGGCCTCCCAGTGCTTGTGAATTTGCAAACTCCTTATAACAAAATTGGCACTCGAATTTCTTGTCATCTGTTAAACTTTTCTCGTCCGAAACATGTTTTTGATCCGTCACGGTAGAAGAAGACGACGATAAATTTACAATTTCATCCCTTTCTGCAGATCCATTTTCATGTGGATTTAGCTCGAAACCGAAAAGTTTGAGCCTTTTTGAGGGGTATATATCAGTAAATTCATGATCAGAGAAATCTTTTCCCATGTATGATCACTCTTAGAATGAAGAAAAAATTGATGTACTTATGTAAAAATTAATGATGTACAATTTGTGTTATGTCATCTACCTTATATAGTAAATTGAATTCCTGTTTGTTTTTGACTAATGCAGTGCATCTGTATATAAGAATCATTTTATATTCATGCATAGTATAAATGAACCAAAGGTCAACAAAAAGGGATAAAAAGGATCAGTCAGATTAGGGAAGTTGTTCCTCATGCAATATAAAGGATAGAAACATGTTTCAACTGACAAAATTATACAATGTAATGAACAAGATTTTAATTTTCTTTTCGTGGACGCAAACGCTCATTATAAAAATTTTAGTTGCTTTTATTTCCAAGTACTCTTCTTCACTATCAAATCTTTCCTATCATCAATCATGAAAGTTTTTAAATAAAGTCGTTAAGATGATATAATGAAAAACAACAATGATCGAGAGTTTAAACCCATATTTGAAACTGGTTTTTTTCAAAATCATATTTTTCCACACTAATTTTCATCCACACATTCTCTAAAAAAAAAAAAAAAAA